GCCTAAGGGATGTCTGATTGCCGGCTTAGGCCCAATCCCCCGGGAGCAGTCCTAAACCAGTAGGTGGTCATTCCCTGAGGGTCCCAGACTGCGAGAGGGCACAGAACGGGTTGAGGGACCCCCCGCCCCCAGTGCACAAATTTTTGTGCACCGGGCCTCTAGTCTATATAATAAAAGCCTAAGTGACCACTGCAGCAGAACAACCAGAAAGACTGCTATGATGCACATTGACCACCAGGGGGCAGACACTCAACACAGGAGCTGTCCCCTGGTCATCAGTGTGCTCCCCCAGGGGGAGTGTCACTCATCAGAAGCCAGGTTCATGGCTGGGGAGCGCAGCAGCGGTGGCGGGAGCCTCTCCCTCCTCCGCAACGCTAAGGAACAGCAAGCCAAGCGGTGGTGGGCAGTAAGGAGCGAAGGGTCCGGACTGCGAGAAGGTGCAGGACGGGCTGAGGGGATCCCCCGCCCCCTGCACGATTTTCGTACACTGGGCCTCTAGTATAAACATAAGGAGTAGATGCTTCTGGTTTTTGTTCCATTTGGATTTGGGGTCAAGAGATTAAATAAACTTGTATTGTCTTTCGATCCCTAAAGAAATTAATCTGGGATTCCATTACAGAAACTGGTCATTATTTTATTTAGTGGGATAAAGATCAGTGGAGAAAGTGAGTACAACTCATAGGAGGGTGTGACTTTCTCAGAGTCACACAGCTCATAGATGGGCAGACTCTGGCCTTCTACCTCCTAGTTCACAGTATCACACTTTCTCTGTGAGGCAGTATCACATATATTTGTTTAAAATGACTACTAGCTACATATGCTGTAGTGATTTCTGGAGAAATATCATCACCTCCTCTATTTTCAGTCAGCCATCGCTCCCAGCCCCAACAGCCCTCCCAGCCCCAGCGGACACTACTGCAGCATGTGGCTCAGTCACAGACTGCAACACAGACTTCAGTGGTGGTGAAGTCCATTCCAGCATCTTCCCCAGGAGCAATTACCCACATTATGCAGCAGGTTGTACCTCTTCTTTTTCTTCCTACCTTCTGTAACAGCATTTTGCCTGAAATGAGGTTCAGTTTCATCTTCTCTTGTAAGAGAAAAAATAACTGAATCAGAGAGTGTTTGTGTACTTCTTTCATCTGTGAGGAGTGAATAGAGGAAATGAATTGAAAGTCTTAACAGAAAGTAACTAAGAAATAATATTCTTGGATTTTCTGTGAACTCTTACTATTTTGAAAGGGTGGGGCTATCTAAATGAATTTATGACATCAGAATTGGCCGCTGCTTCTGTGATTTTTATTGTTATGAAAGAATTTATCACTGAGGTAAGTTTCAAATGAAACCAAAGTTGGCTTGTTTCGGTTTTTGTTACTAAGGTTGTTTTGTTTTTTTCTTATTTGTTTTACTTTTTGCTTTTATAATGAGTCCTCATGGAAACATTATGAATAAGTAGGTAAATAAATATTTGACTTTTTAAAATTATTATATATGACCAATGAAGAAGGAAAACACTCAACAGGGAGAATGAATTAATTAAAACAGAAAATCTGGTACCAAGGATAATGGGAGAAAGAAAAACATGTTGATAAGTTGATTTTTTTTTTTTGTCAGATACTGTGCTTTGAGCTTTAAATGCACTAACTTGTTTAATTCTATGATCCTGTAAGATGGGTATATTATCCCTCTTACAAATGAGGAAACTCATGCTCACAGAAGTTAAGTAACTTATCCTAGGTGGCAGAGCCAGGATTTAAACTCAAAGTAGCCTGCCTTTATTATAAAGTGATATCATAGATATCACATACACATATTTACATAAATCACCATCTTTCCACTACCAGTAGCAGTTGACCCTAATAGTAGGCAAACTACCTGAAAGGCAATGAAGAAAATGTTGAATTAAAAACCTGTATGTGTAAGTCCGTTAAGAGATGGGGCGGGGGGTTTAATTGAATCTTATAGAGGTACAGCATATGACAGGATGGGATTGGTGTCACTGAAGGAAGTCAGATGGCCAGAGGTTTTGTTAGGTGTCAGATCTCCCTGGAGTCTGACCCTCTTCTGGCCAGTCCTGACATTGACCTTTCTCAAGACAGCCAGAGAGGTCAGACAGGCTGGCCCAAATCATGTCACTCAAGATCGATGCTCCTCCCAACACTATTAGAACCCACACCAGACAGTCTCCCTTTCCACTGACAGAAGTGCTCTTGTCGTCATCCCCCCGCCCCCTCCCCTCCAGGGAGCCGGGTCTGGGAAGCTGTTGCCTAGTGGGCCTAGAATCTGAGCAAAGGGGTGAGGAGGGCTAGTGCAGAGGGTTGTTTCCGCAGACCTTTGTGAAGTCCGATGAACCATCTCCACTCTGAGCAGAGAGGCCCTCTGTGGGGACAGGGATGGGCATGTCCCTCAGGCAACAATTCTTACCTTCTGGACCAGCGGTCGCCAACCTTTCAGACCTCACGGACCACCAGTGTTCTGTGGACCACCGGTTGGCGACTGCTGTTCTGGACAGTGTTGGGCATGCACACGGCCAAAGTAGGCTTCTCTGAACCTTGTCTTTTCTCTGGATGCCTCATTGCTGGTTTGCTACATCTTTGTATGGTTAGCATCTCTGATCACCAGTCTTGAGAGCTGTTTCTTTAGACAGGCAGCCTTTTCTTCTTTTTCTGTGTTGGGCTGTGCTTGCAGAGCAACCTTATTCTTCTTACCTATAAGTTCGGGCCCTCAAACTTTTCTTATAGAAGTGAGTAGACTAGTTTTGACAGTACTTAATGTCTGAGAGTTGAAATTACAGGAGTCTCAATGTAAAGCCCCCTTTAGATTTGGAAATCTTGAGGTTTCTTGGTCTTTTTAGGCTCTTCCCTCTGATAATTTTTGCATGAATCTCATAACCAAGTCTTTTCCAGTTTGAGGAAAATGTAGCATTATAGGTGTTTTTCTTATTTCATTCTTACTTTGTGCCTTTTTTACTTAGGCATTAAGCAGCCACACTGCTTTTACCAAACACAGCGAGGAACTTGGAACTGAGGAGGGCGAGGTTGAAGAGATGGACACTTTAGACCCTCAGACAGGTCTGTTTTATCGATCTGCCCTGACTCAGTCACAGTCCGCTAAACAGCAGAAACTTAGCCAGCCCCAGCTGGAACAGACTCAGCTGCAAGTGAAAACTCTGCAGTGCTTCCAGACTAAACAGAAGCAGACCATCCACCTGCAGGCAGACCAGCTCCAGCACAAACTCCCGCAAATGCCCCAGCTTTCCATCAGGCATCAAAAACTCACCCCTCTCCAGCAAGAACAAGCACAGCCCAAGCCAGATGTACAGCACACACAGCATCCTATCGTGGCCAAAGACAGGCAGCTTCCTACCTTAATGGCACAGCCCCCGCAAACTGTAGTACAGGTGCTTGCCGTGAAAACCACACAGCAGCTCCCTAAACTGCAGCAGGCTCCGAACCAACCAAAAATCTACGTGCAACCCCAAACCCCCCAGACCCAAATGGCGCTCCCAGCCTCGTCAGAGAAACAGCCGGCAAGCCAGGTAACGGAATAATGATAGCATGCAAAGTTAAACTCTGTTCACGGAAAAAATGAAACCATCACGACCCTATCCTGATTAGCAGTGCTTTCTCCTGACAAGAGGAAACTCGAAAGCCTCATTATGCTGGTGTTAGTTTACCCCATCAGAAGGTTGGCATTAGGGAAGAAATGCACATCATTAATATAGGAAGGGGAAAACATAGCACTCAGAAGTTGATTTTCCAGGCATTTTTTAATGAAATCACTTCAGCATTGATCAACAGTGCATAGAAGCGATATCCCTAAATTATTTCTATATTTTTAGGTATAAAATATTTATTTCCAAGCCTGTAAACTCTTATTTCTGTGGCAGTAATGCTAAGTAAACTACAGTCTTTTAAGGCGCTTCATTGAACATCTTCCTTTGTAGTTTACATGATCACCATCTAGTTAATAAATTATCTCCTAGATTTATCTTCTAGATTGCAGAGAAATTACTTGTGGATAGTTGAAAGAAAAGCTATTTTCGGGAAAGTCATTGGCTATGGAGTGATGTGTGTATGTGTAAATTATAAATACATAAATATATAGAATATGTGTAAATGTATTTTGAAGCAAAAGATTTTTTGAAACATTATTTTAAACAGCCGAAGATTATATAAAATAATTTGAGACAGGTTGAAGGTATACTGTGTGGGAATATGAATCCCCATGGAAAACAAGACTGCTGTGACTTTTTTCCCCCTTAATTTGTATGAACTTTGGCTGGCTGAACTTCTGACC